ATATATTAAACTGCATGTTGGACGGGTACAAAATACGCACATGTATAAAGATTGTTCTTTATCAGCATCGTCACCACCATCATCATCATCATCATTACATCATCATCGTAACCCAGATTCATCATCATCATCATCATCATCATTATCATCATCATCATTATCATCATCATCATCATCATCATCATCGTAACCCAGATTCATCATCATCATCATCATCATCATCATCATCATCATCGTAACCCAGATTCATCATCATCATCATCATCATCATCATCTTATTCCTCGCTGCATCGAAATCGACATCAGCACCAGAATCATTATCTGCAGCAACAACAGCAGCAGCAGCAGCAGTAACAACAACATCATTTCCAGTGTGCCCGAGGCGTGCTGAGAAAATATAGTCCCCTCGGTGTAGTTACCAGCCAGCTGTGAAATGCGAAAATTGAACCCTGGTGAGGCGCTTTGTTCGCGCTTAAGCGGTCTATTTCCTTCCTCATCAGGCCCTGTTTCGAGTCTTCTGGAGAGAGAGATGGGGAGAGAAAGAGAGGGAGAAAGAAAGAGAGAGGGAAGAGGGGGGAGAGAGAGAAAGAGAGAGAGAGAGGGGGAAGTAGGGAGGGAGAGGGAGAAAGAGAGAGGGGAAGAGGGGAAGAGGGGGAGGGGGTAGGAGAGAGAGAGAGAGAGAGAGAGAGAGAGAGAGAGAGAGATGAGAGAGAGAGAGATGGGGGGGGGGAAGAAAAAGAGACAAAGACAGAGAGGGGTGATGGCACACCTTGGAAACACTTTATAAACGTCCAGTTGTCAGTTTCCGAGGGCCTGCCTTCAGTTTTGAGCCTGAAGGACCAACAGCTTCTTTCGAGAACAGATTTTTTTAAAAAGACTACACCAGACTTCTTCCAAAAAAAACAAACCCTGAGCTCATCCATAGTCACTGGATAATACAATCCTTAGTGCTTTACTGTGTTCAGAATATGGGGGGAGGGTTACTACTGGTGAATGCTACTCTTGATAAGACTAGTTCTTCAAATTGTGACAGGCGAATAAAAGAGACACCAGAAATGAAAATGTAGCTTAAAATGTATCAAAATAGCAAAACAATGAAGTAGGAAGTCTACTGTATGTTTAAGCAGCAACAAAAATATGTTCCACAGACAGTAAAGTGAGATACAGAAAGAGAGTCAGAAAGCTGCATAAGAAAAAGGTGATATATTAACTAAACTTTTAACAAAAGGAATAATTATAATAATAACTAAGAGATGTATTTTTCAAACCCTGTGCACCCATAAAAGGAGTCCTACAATATAATCATATTTAGAATAGCCCAGATGACAACAATGTCTATAGTCTCTTGGCCTCCACACTGAGTCATCTAGTTATAAACTTATGTCTATAGTACTTGGCCCTTCTATAAATCAACATCAAATAAACTGACAACATCTGAAGATATTTCAAACAAACGTTTTTCACAATACTCGACACTCCAGTATTTAATACAGTATAATAGTATCAGTAACAAAAACCTGTTTTCCTACAGCCTGAAATATTTTTGAGCTACTGATTCCTTGTTAGTTTGAGTAAAGAAAAAAAAATCCACCCAATAACAGTCCTTGAGCATAGAAAAAAGGCAAGACAGACAGACAGACATAAACAACAAAAGTAAAAAAAAAGAAGTAGGACCTACCAATGGCATCCTTCAACCATATGCTGAGCCACTGAGAGAACAGGTGAAAATATTACAACAGCGACAATGCATTCTCGATACAATATTGACAAAAGCAATATGACAAGGAAAGGGCAATTAATTTCACAAGGCTCGAATCAGTCCTTGTGAAAAGAAAATTCAGTCAGAGAATTATCTGTCATTTCTTCTTGTCACTCTAGGCCAATTTGAGGAAAGAGAGGCCAAAAAAAAACAACAACAACAAAATCAGAGAAGAAAACAACACATTACATAGAAAGGGAAAAGCTCAAAAACTTACCCTGCCTTCACTTTTCCAACAAATAAAGAACCCATACTCGTCAACTTTAACAATGCAGTTCGATTCGTAAACAGAATATTCCTGCAGGGAGAGTGAAAATACAGAGGAAAGGATTTAATGAGCATGCTCTTTTGTCCTCATTACTTTAATGGCATTCAAATAATTTACATTTTAAAAACTTTTCAACACATGAAATCAGAAATACCATATAATATAAAAATATAACACATCCCTTATAGTGGTAACAATTTTTACCCAACAAAATTCCTTCAATGCTTAAAAAAAAGCTTCTTTTTTTTATAGTAGAGGGTTTTACGGCGCTCATAACTGCATAAGGTCATATGAGCGCCAAGGGGTGGGTGTCAACAGAGAAGTCTTTACAGGGAATCAGACTTAGACTGCTCACCTCTCTAACTTCAACAGCACAAAGTCTGCTTCGACTATCAAGGCACCCTAAAATAGCAGGTCACAAGAGAGTGACAAACATACAAAAGAAATAGAGGACAATTACAATAGTAAGGATCAGGAAAGAAAAAAAGCAGCAGTTCCCTGTCGTAGATCAGGCACAGTTATGAGCATGACATGAGTCAGCCCATTTACAATTCTACTGTGCTTGAACGAGAAATGTCCACCCTCTGGGAATGGCCTAAAGACACTTCAGTCAGTGGCACTGCCCCGGGGGGTTAAAAAAAAAAAGCTATGCTTTTCAAAAAATAAAAAAAAGCTATGCTTTTCAACAAAAAAAAGAAAGTTTTAAAAATATATATTCTAAAATGTTTTAATGTATTCTCACTTTTCAAAGGCACACAAACAGAATCAAAGAGGCAAGGAACAGTTCAAGAAAAAAGTTCAAAATATTTCAACAGAATTGGGAAACCCTCAAATTTCGTTAGCAAAAAATAAAAACTCACCTCATCCCAAATGTCAAAGACACATCCAATTTGCAAGACATCTGGTACTGGAATCCTCCAGCTAAACTCAAAAGGCTTAGCCATTGATGAATGGCGTTACAACACCAGCTGATGTTGAACAGGCAAGTCAAAACTCTGGAAATAGAATCAAAACACAGAATGTAAGGAAGTTTGTAACGAAAACATTAATTTACTAATAAAATATCAAAATGTAGATTATGTTTAAGCCAATGTCACAGGCAAAGTGTATAAAAAATAATCGTGACTTTAACATCCTGACCAAAAAATCAGGACAGCATGGCACAATAACTCATGAGTTTTGTAACTATTAGTGTTATGAAATAAGAGGCTTGAACATCAATGTTCTCATGAAAGAAACAAAGAAACAAATGTTTTTACCATCTGCACCAAAAAAAAATGTTCATTAAATAGCAGGCTAACATTTATGAGTGTCCACTATCCCTGTGGCAGGTAGGGTCAAAACCCAGTTCCTGAATGATTTAAAATGATCGATAACGATATTTAACTCCTACATCTCTATATTATAGTATACTTGTGAAAGTTCGTCACTTTGGCCGCCTAAAACTTTCGAATCACTTAACTTTCGAAATTGACCAAATTAATGATGGTTCAGAATCATTTAAAGGGTGCAGTTTTATTGAGGAGCCTGAAGCCACGGTAGTTTAATTTTCAGTTTTTCATTAGTTTCGTTTGGATCGTATCTTCTAAAACGCCATTGTAAACTAGCCGTGCGCATTGATTCCACACCTTTGAAATTCTGGAGTGTACAACCACAAAAGCGGAATAGAGAATCAATCTATAGGCCTACATCTCAATATCTAGACCTTCTAATTTTTTGCATCTGTCAAGATCTATTGCTCCATTCCAGTAGAGTGTAAAAATAAATATAGCAGGCCAATGACTTTCATTTGATGTTAATGCACCAATCATTCCTTTCATCGAAAGGGTGTCCAGCTAGTTTAAAGTATTAAAAGGATGGTTGCAGTACAATGTGCACTACCAGGTATTTCAGCCCTTCTGCCAAAATACTTTATATTCCAATGAGCCTCACAATTCACCCCGCTTTGCAGTGTAAAACAAACCCACTTCCTAAATTACCTGACCTACCTCGATGGCGGCATACAAGACCTTTTTGATCATCAGTAGAAATCAACAAATCAAGAACCTAATGGCCCAATATTTTTCTTCCCATTTCAGTATCATCAGCAGCAAAAGCAATGATAGGTCTACAGCAGAGCACATGGTCTGAAGTGGCACAGAATTTTGAAAAAAAAAACCAAAAAAAACAAACACATCAATCATCAAATAAGGAGAGTGTTCTCTCTCTCTCTTTCTCTCACAACAAAAAACAACAGGCATATATACACGAACACTAACAATTGCATGTGCACATAATTACATATGAATGTGGGGGCACAAAAGCAGGCTGTTTCATCATGCAAATGATCAGATACAGTTCTTAGTACGTTTCTGATGTGCTGAATGTACTGTCACAAAAAAAACTTCTACCTTCCAAGTGTGAACATAAGAGAAACAAATGATTTACAAAAATTAATGGACAGGTTATCTCAGTGCTGAACAGTAGATTGGCAGGAGATTTGAAGTTCTATCTATTTGTTGATTACAGAGGTGTGAAGTGCAGAACACCAGTTTACATATATGAAAAATGTCGAAAAATCCCTTCTCTATGATTTGATACAGATAGTTTCAGCGTCATTGTCTTGAACAAAACATAGGATCAGCTTCTGCTGGGTTTTTTTGTTTGTTTGAGTAAAGAAAAGACGTACACTGGCAAAATAACATAACAGTCATTTAGTTGCAGGGAAAGAGTTGAGTAAGATAAGAATAAAACAGAGGGGAAAAAAAGAAGTCAGACGCAATCAATGCAATGTACTGATGGACATTAGGCTCGTGTGGCTACGAGGCTGATTTGGGCCAGGATGATGTGCATGAATGAATGGCTAGAGTGGGGCGCAAACATTCATTGCATCTTTTCACTATAGATGCAATCATCATTAGTTTTGTAAAGTGTTTTACGGCACTCACAACTGTTCTGCATACGGTCATATAAAGTGGAACTCAGTTTCAACAAACTTGGATTCAATGAAAACTCGGATTCAACAAAAAGGAGTTGGATTCCCCAATGTTCCTATTCATAAAAATCAATTTGATTTTTTTTAAAACTCGGATTTAATGAACACATACATATAAATGACAAGCTCGGATTCAACGAAGTTGCTTTCAGGGTGAATTGCTCTATGCGACCAATCAGCGGCCTCCTTTCATACCAACACAGATGTTGTAATCACGCACCCATGTTATAGCATGTGTTGGGGTCGCACCGGCGGCCAGCTTGCGTACGACTGTGTGAGCGCGTGCTGGAGGAGAGGGTACATACGATCTGGGCGTGGAACGTCAGTGGAGAAACAAACCCGATACAGATCAATATATTCAATGATAAGCTAATCTTGACATTTAATAAATCTACGTAATGAGTAATGAACTGTGCGCTGAACTGTGGAAACAAACATTGCCATAAGACAGGCTCTACACAGCAACATCAACTTGTAGGGCAAACAATAGGCCTACGTTATAGATGATAGATGACACAGGCATGTATTAGAACAAACTGGCCCTTTTGCACAGTGTGTGCTTGGTAGAATTCAGTGTATCTTCCTGGAAGTTTCCAGCAATTTTTCGGTATCCAAAGAAATAAAAATGCTTCTCATTTGAAACCAATTATACATTTTGCTCGGTGCATGTAGAGCCTAATTATTTAAACAAAAACCTCATATTTGCCATATAATGAAAACTGAGATTCAACATAATTGAAGGCCTGGCCCACCGACTTCATTGAATCCGAGTTCCACTGTATATATAAGCGCGCTGGACACATTAAACATTTTTAGTCTGATAGGAATCAATTTTGAATTTTGCCCGAGTGGCCCAAACCTACACTGATTGATTTTAGACCACAAAGGGATTTAATGTGTGCAACTTGCATAGGACTTCTGAGATTTTTCGTATTACCCAAGAAGGCCAGGTGTTAGATCTTACCTACCATAATATCAGGGGTGTAGCTGATAGACAGCAGTAAGAAGGAGCAAAGGAGTAGCATGTAGAAAAGCTGCAGAAGAAAGAGACAGGAGCTATGGGGAGGGGGCAAAGGAGGTGATGGGGTGGGGGCAGAAAGCAGTCTTGATGAAAGCAGACGACCAAACACGGTTATAGAGCAAGGAAGGAGGTGAACGGAGAAAATTTTAGTAAAGAAAATTTTCCGTCGTTGTTCGACTTCAAACCCGGAACCTACTGAATGAGAGCTGAACAAGTAACCCCTCAACCACGAGAGCCCCCATGCAATCATCATTATAACAAAAATCTTAGACTTTTAATTCCAAGTCAGCTTCAAAATTTGTAGGCCCTATATTTGATCGATGTTGGCCTATCTGCATTAACTGAAGAGTATGAAATTCATCTAAACAGGAATACAGTATACATAATCTCAAACAATAATATTTATGAAAACAACAACTCGGGCAGACAGATCGACAAGAGAAAAGGTGTCCAATAAGCAATGCCTTTCGACTACGAGAGCTAAGAAGAGAAAGAATAGAATAGAAGAAAGTGTGAAAAACAAAGGTAAAAATAGTAAAAATGAAAAAGATATTCATCATGAAAGGCAAAATAATGGGCACTTTTTTGGTAGTTCCCACCCCGCAATTGTTATTCGCCGGTTTGGGCCCCAAGAGTAGGGGAGTTTCTGGGGGACTTGCCCCCCTGCCCTAATAAAATTAGCCTATGGTGGGGGGTGCCCCCCTGAATTTTCCCACAATTTAATGTTTTGCAGTTGTTAGGTTTGATATCTTAGCTTGCCAGGCATCAAACATATAGATCAAGATGTAGATCCAGGTCAGGCTCAAATAAGGGGGGTGGGAACAACCGAGTCCCAAGGCGCCCAAGCCTAGAGGGAGAGGCCTCACCCCTCCTTCCCTTCATCCCGAGAACAGATCAGTGATAAATGTGTAAAAATTGAATGTAGGCCTATAGATCTAGCCTAGATGTCTAGATCTAGATCTAGATATCTACTTCTAGATCTAGATCTAAATCTAGATCTAGACATCTATATCTAGATCTAGATCTTGACTTGTAGTTGATTAGACATAGAGAATCTGGAGTCTACCCAGCAGCAGATTTTTAAAAATTGAAAACAAAAACAAACAAAAAACTCATTCAATCTGGATGCCATTACAGTATAAAAAGTGGGCACAGTAATACTTTTCTAAAACATTCTAGATTGCTAGTAACTTGGGCAGGGGGCAAACTTGAAGATCTATTGTCGGTGAGTTTGATAAAAGAAGTGTGGAATCCGTTGGACAGAGCGTGTTGTCTGCTATGTTACGGAAGGGGTTCTGCAAACTTGCCTATCCAAGCGCGACGGACACCGTTATTATCACACAAAGCATTGATAATGCACTCTTATTACAAATGAAACACAGGCTCTGACTATGGTAAGAAACAAAATGCAACTCACTGTCTGCAACTAGTCAGCCGAAGTCGCACAAAATGTTCATTTCATAATGAGATTGGTGTCAGTGAAAGTACAGAGCGCCCGACTCTTACACTTCGTCGGCCATTTTCTTCTTCCTACTACACAATGTTGACATACTTGACCAATGAACTCAGCCTCCAGAGTCACGTGACAATATTATTCTCAGCATCGCAGCGTTGCCAGATTTCCAATCGAGGTTTGATTAGCTCCAATCATTTATTATTACCTTCAATATGTAATGTCACAGCTAATAAAATGTTCCTCAAACCTCAGTGCTCTCAGTTGCATACTGATATAATCGATTTAAATAAAAGTGCTTGCGATAAACATTGATGAAAACGAAACAAGTTTGTAAACCACAGCTGAGGGTAAAACTATCATTTTCCAATATCCGCTCTTTCTTATGACCTTGCCCCGATGGTTGATGAACATTTTTACTCACTGTCCTTGTCCTGTACCCCAGTTTTCAAACGCATGTGCAACGGACATCTCTCTCTCTCTCTCTCTCTCTCTCTCTCTCTCTCTCTCTCTCTCTCTCT